CCCCAAAACCCCAAAACCCCAAAACCCCAAAACCCCAAAACCCCTAACCAAGGTATTAATAAAAATATTTCAAAAGAAAATATAATAATGATTAGTATCAAGGTTGTCTTACTTATCGCACTGGTTGCCTCTCAAACAATGGCAGGTAACCGCAAGTGCAGAGCCCTCGTTATGTCTGGAGGTGGCGACAAAGGATCCTACGAAGCCCAGGCAGTCAAAGTCTGGACCGATTTACTCAGTAAAGAGGATATGTCTTACGATGTAATTACCGGAGTATCAGCTGGATCTCTCAATGGTTCCTTCTTGGGATCTTACAAGCCAGGAGATGAGAGTGAAGGAGCTGACAAAATGCTTGAAACATGGCAAGCTCTTAAGCCTAAGGATGCTTTCAAGATGTGGCCAGGAGGTGTATTGGAAGGAATCTTTCAAAAGCAAGGAATCTTCGACGAATCTCCACTTAGAGATTTCCTTAAAAAAGTTTTAGGAGAAAGATCAGTTCAGAAGAAGATGGGACTCGGATCAGTCGATATGAACACAGGAGAATTCCTTTCTTATGATTATGAAGACACCGAGTACACTGAAGATTACTGGGACTCTGTCATTGCATCCACAGCCATGCCATTAGCCTTTGAACCAGTTAAAACTAGAGATGGAAGGACCCTTCTTGATGGAGGAGTTGTCTGGAAAATGGATGTACCTGGAGCCATCAGAAGGTGCTTAGAAATTGTAGATGATGAGGAAGACATCATCCTCGATGCTATCATGACTGCTCAGACTTTCCTACCTGAAGTTGATGATGTTAGCGACTTTACCACTCTCGGTCATTTGAGAAGAGGACTTGAGATCAAATCTTACCATAAAAATATGAAAATTGTGAACAATACTTTGATTGCCCATCCAAAGGTGAACTTTAGATACATCCTTGCTCCTTCGGTAACCTTGACAATTAGCCCAATTCCTTTGGATTTGTCTCAGAAACATCTGGAATTCTGCTATGGAGTTGCTAAAAAAGATGCTACTGCTGCTGTCAGATTAGGTCCGGGAGGCTATATGAACATGCTTTTGGAGCATACCGAGAAACTTCAAAATGGAGAGGACTCCAGACTTGACCAAATGCTAGAGACTAAACTGCAACTGTTAGAAGCACAAGAAGCACAAAAAGCAGAGACCACTGCTGAAGAAGTTCTTAAATCTGAATAACTTGATATAAATCACCTTGCCCTCAAGAATTACTAAAATCCACTTTTACCCAATCGCAAATTTTTGATATTTATAATCATAGCTTTGTTCTTTTCCTGGATTCGGAATTCTCATTGGTAAAGGTGTCTCTTGCTTTCCAAAATATTTATAGTCACTAGAGCATCGAACATGTTTAATTTTATTACTATCTTCAGAGAGTAAAACCCTAACTCGCATCTCCTTATCTTCTCCATTTTACTCCCATCATATCCACTACTAATAATACCTCCTTTTGGTCCAAACCAGATTCTAAACCCTCATAAAATGTCAAAACACCCTAAAACCCACTCCTAAACCCAAAACAACCAAAAATCTTAAAACTCCCCACCCCTTCCCTTCAAACCCTCTTTCCCATACTCCTCCCCAACCTTCCATTCCTTCCCACCTTCACTCCCATTTACATTCAATATTCCCCTTCTAAAACGGGGTTTTGGGGTTTTGGGGTTTTGGGGTTTTGGGG